ACAACCCTAAAAGGGGGAAAAAGGCAATTTATAGGAAACTCTGCAGAGAAACAATCCTGGAAAAATGAAACCTGCTTGGTCCTGGGGCAGGATATGGAGAGCTGCACTTCCTTCCCCAGCTCTGCTTTCTGTCTCTGCCTTCCAGGAATCAGAGCTCCTGTTATTGGCTGCAAAAACAACTTTAAAAAGGGGGAAAAGGCAATTTATAGGAAACTGTGCAGAGAAACAATCCTGCAAAAATGAAAGCTGCTTGGTCCTGGGGCTGCTCAGCTCCAGCAATGATTGACCAGCCAGAGCGGGGACAGAATTTGATGGAAATCAGCCAGGAAAAGGAGAGGGAATCCACAGGAAAACTTCCTGGCTGCAGGTGCTCCCCTGGATGTGGCACAAGCACCTCTGTGAGTGCTTGAGGGGATGCCCTGGCACCTCATCCCTGTCTCCAAGAGGTTTGGGGACACTCACCTGCCACAGGTGGAACCATGGATGGGTAAGGCTGGAAAGGAGCTTTAGGAGCCCTGAGCCCAGCCCAGCACAGGCTCACCACAGTGTCCCCACCTGCCACATCCACACTTCAGGGATGGGGACTCTCATTGCCCTGGGCAGCCTGTTCCACTGCCTGACAAGCTTTTCCATGGAAAAATTTGCATTAATATCAAATTTCAGCCTCACTGAGGCCGTTCCTCCCTCCTGTCACTCGTTCCCTGGCAGAGCTGCAGGATGCCACCCCGGCAAATCCAGCTTTGCCCCAGCCTCAGGAGCAGATTAATGTGGAAAGATAAACCCAGGGGAGGCAGGGGAATGCAGCCCAGGTTAATGTTAACACAGCAACACCAGTGCTGTGGGACAGAGGTTGGCAGGAGGCTCCAGGCTGGCAGGAATCAGCAAAAAAATCCCTCGACTTCCCAGTCCAAATTCCCATGTAGAGATAAGGAGCTTAGAGGCTGATGCTGCCAAATCCCTCCCACAGGAACTCCCTGCTCCCCTCTTTGCTCACAGGCTGCTCACGCCCTGGCACAGCTCCCCAAAGATGCTGGGGCTGCCCCATCCCTGCAATCCCCCCTGGAAAAGCCCCCTACAAGGCTTTTCTTGGAGGCAGGAGCAACCCAGACCCTCCTGATGGATTCTCCAGGACCTTGGGCACCTCCAGGCACTCCCAGCCCTGCAAGTATCCAAGGTTTGAAGCAGTCTGGGGCAGTGCAAGGTGTCCCTGCCCATGGAATGGGATGAGCTTTAAGGTCCCTTCCTACCCAAACTACCCCAAAGATACCTCCAAGAGAAAGCCTGGAGAGGCCAACGGGAGCAGGGCTGAGTTAATAGCAAAAAACCCCAAAATGAACCAAAAAAAAAGAGGAGTTTTTGAAAGGTTCACCTGGGAAAGGGAAGAAAAATCCCACGTGCGAAAGCAGAGCACAAAATCAGCACAGAGGGAACCTGGGCTGAGGAGGGAAGAAAGGAAGCCCAGGGAGAAGTGAAGGAAATCCCAGTTCAGCAGCACCAAGAGCAATGAATGACCACAAAGGCCAAGAAAAAGGGGAAATGCCCTCCGTGGCAGCTGCAGCTGTCCCTCAGTGTCACACACGAGCACACCCCCAGCCCACAGCAGCACCTGGAGCAGGGAAAGCTCTCCCTGCTGGCCCAGGGAGCTGGGGAAGGGCTGAGCTGCCTGTCCCAGGCCAGGCAGGGAGCATTGGGCTCTTTATGGCCAAAAATACCCCTGGGAACCCTGGGAGCTGTCATCAAACACAGGGAAATGTGTGTGTGTGTGTCAAGGGCTGCTGAGATTTAATTAGCACTTGCCTTTTCCCCTTCTGGAAAACAGCTCTGGGTGAGGAGGAGGAGGAGGAGGAGGCGGCTGGGCTGTGGCTGGGGCCAGCATGAGCTCCGGAGGCCAGGCAGGCCTGGCAGGGTTTAGGCTCAGCTCACACAGGCCTTGGGAGCACGTTAATCCAGTTTGGAATGGGCTCGGAGGGGACCTTAATCCCATCCTGTCCCAGCCCTGCCACTGCCCCACCCGGCCTTGGGCACTGAAAGGAGCTGAGCTCCGAGCTCTCCTCCTCCCCAAACCCTGCTGGGCTCCAGGGCAGCACCCTCAGCAGCTGGGCTGGGAATCCCAGAGCTCCCACCCACAGCTGGGCTCTGGGAAGGGCAGCACAGACCATCCCTGGATTGCCTGTTCCCAGAGAGCTCCAGGTGAGCAGAACAGACCATCCCTGCATTCCTCATCCCCAGAGAGCTCCAGGTGAGCAGCACAGCCCCAGAGAGCTCCTCCACGTCCAGGTGAGCAGCACAGACCCATCCCTGCATTCCCCATCCCCAGAGAGCTCCTCCACGTCCAGGTGAGCAGCACAGACGCTCCCCTGCATTTCCCTGTCCCCAGAGAGCTGCTCCTGCTCCAAGTGAGCAGCACAGACCATCCCTGCATCCCCAGAGAGTTCCAGGTGAGCTGCACAGACCCATTTCTGCATTTCCCCATCCCCAGAGAGCTCCTCCTGCTCCAGGTAAGCATCACAGACCCATCCCTGCATCCCCTGACCCCAAAGAGCTGCTCCTGCTCCAGGTGAGCAGCACAGACCCATCGCTGCATTTCCCTGTCCCCAGAGAGCTCCTCCATGTCCAGGTGAGCAGCACAGACCCATCCCTGCATCCCCAGAGAGCTCCAGGTGAGCAGCACAGCCCCAGAGAGCTCCTCCATGTCCAGGTGAGCAGCACAGACCCATCCCTACATCCCCAGAGAGCTCCTCCAGGTCCAGGTGAGCAGCACAGACCCATTTCTGCATTTCCCCATCCCCACAGAGCTGCTCCTGCTGCAGGTGAGGCAGGAACCCCAGGATCCCTCCAGCCCTGCTGCTGCTCCCACCCCTGCTGACGCCCCTCAGGATTCCCCATCCTGCCCACTGCCTGGGAGGATTTGCAGGATTTGAGGATTCCCAGCAGTTTGCACAAAACCCAAAGGGTGCAAAGGAAGCTGTCTGCACACCAGAAGGTCCCTGTGAATCCCAGGCTGGATGAAACCTTGGGCCAGGCACTTCCCACCCTGTTCCCAGCTCCAAGCTGCTGCTGCTGTTTCCTTCTCCCCCTTCCTCAGGATGTTTCCTCCAGAAACATCTTTATTTTTTTTTTATTTTTTTATTTTTTTAGAGAACAGTTTGCTGCGAACAGGCAGAACCTGTTCTGGACGCACTGAGAGCTGCTCCCCATCTGCAGCATTTGCCAGCACGACTCAGATTTATTTTATTTTTATTTTATTTTTTCTTTAATCCAGGATACTCCAGGCTCTCTCCTGCGTGTGGGCGCCCGGCTGCCTCACCCAGGGGAGACGTGGGCTTGCAGGAATTACATGGAGGAGCCCCAGGAGCCAAGCCCTGCTCCCCCTGGATCCTGGACAGGGACCCCAAACCCTCTGGGGTCCCTGCAGACCCCGCTCCTGGCTCTGCCCGCCCTCGATTGAGGACAGACGTGGAACGAAACGTAACATTTTAGGAAAGATCTTCCACATGTTGGGCTTTGGCAGCTTCTGATGGTTTGGAGGGAGCCAAAAAATAACTAATCCTGCTCTCCTTCAGCCAAGGGCTGAGTGGGACCAGAGGGGAGAAAGGGGGGAAAGGGAAGGAAGGGGGAGACAAATAAAATGGCCAAACTGGAACCAGTGAGTCCCAGTTTCCAGTCAGAGCATCCCCAAGTCATGGACACCACTGCAAGGGGTGGCAATTTGCAATTCCTCCAAAAAAACCAGCTTCATCTGGGGTTCAAAATGATATTTCTGGGCTTAGGAACACGTTAGTCCTGAGTCACCGAGGGGTTTCCACCTCCTGACACCCAGCACAGCAAAATCCTCCCACAGCGAGCCCCCAGCACGACTTTTCCCCATGGAAGTTGTGGAAAACCACCCAAAACAGCACCCCAGGATGGGTTTGGTGGGAAAGGGGGTGGAGGATGACTTCAGGAATTTGTTCTTCTGCTTTGCTGGGTAAATGAAATGGATTTCGGGGAAACAGAGCCGAGGAGGAAGGCGACACACGTCGCGCACAGGGGTGGGATGAGCTGCAAGAGTTTAAATTCAGGGATGGAAAACACCACCCGTGCCAAATTCATCTGGAATTCAAACCAGGGGCAGGAAAGCAGCAGCAGCAGCAGAGGGGGATTTGGGATTCCTGAACCGTTCCCAAAATGCTTTAACAAAAGCTCAGGACTGCGAACAGGAAGCGCTGGGAAGGGGAATTCTGCTCGGGGGGGATCGGGGATGGTCTCCCCTCATTTCGGGAGAGGGAAAGGAGTTTGTGAGCCCTGCTTGGGGCTCATTTCCGCAGGGAATTATGGAATATGGAATATTCCTGCCCATGGAACATCCCCTGCACGGCGCCAGGCTGCTCCAGCCCGGCCTTGGGCACCTCCAGGGCGGGGAAGAGCTCCAAGGCCGAACGAGCTCCTCCGTCCCGGCCGCGATTCCCGAACCTCCGGGGACCCCCAGCCCCGCACGAACCGGGAGCTGCCCGGGGTTACCGGGGCCGCTGCTCCCGGGGCTCCCTGCGGCTCTCCCGGCCGGTTTAGGGCAGGATCCGTCCCGGTTTAGGGCAGGATCCGTCCCGGTTTAGGGCTGGATCCGTCCCGGTTTAGGACTGGATCCGCCCCGGTTTAGGGCTGGATCCGTCCCGGTTTAGGGAAAGGGAAGCACCCCCGGGACCCTCGCGGTGTCACCGGCCCCACACCCGTCGCTCCCCTCGGAGGAGTTTCCGTGCCCCGGTCCCACCGGAGAACGGCTCCTCCACACCGGGCCCCCCCCGGGTGCTGAGCTCCGCTCACAGCCCGCACCGAGCCCCGGGAGCCTCACCGGGAGGTACCGGGGGATGCCCGGCGGGCCCAGCTCCGGGATACCGGCACGGGATAACGGCGGGGAGCGGGCATCGCTGGGGCAGCAGCGGCTTCTCCGAACCGCCAAGGGAACAGCGGCCTCCCCGGAGCCCAACGGCGGCGGGAACGGGCGCGGGGTGCCGGTGTCTCACCTGGGTCGCTTTGTAGAACTGCTTCTTCAGCCCCGCCACCGACATGGTGCCGGTGCCGGTGCCTGGCCCGGTGGCGGCGGGGAGCCGGTGTGTGGGCGGCGGGACCTGCAGCGGGGGCGGCGGGAGCCTCGGGAGCCTCTGGACGCTCCGCCCGTCCCAGCCCGGCCCGTCCCCGCCGCCGCTTCCGCCGCCGCCCGGCCCCGCCCCCCCGGCCGCCACCACCGAGCGGCCCGGCCCGAGCGCCGCCAGCGCAGCGCGCCCCCTGCCGGCCGGGCGGAACCGCCGAGCATCGCGACCGAGCGGCGAATGGAGTCGTTCTGTCGCGACACGAAGGACGGGCGGTCATATCGGGAGATGACTGTGGCGCAGCTGTGTCTTTCTCCTGAATGATCCTGTGGGGAGCGGACCGCGTGTGCGACACGGGGACACCCGAGCTGGGACCGCCGCCATAGGGCTGGGGGGAAAATGGGGCGACACACACTCCAAATGGAAAACTACTACTCCCAGCATCCCTTGCGGCAGCCACTGCGCCTGCGCCTCGCAGCAGCGGGCGCTGATTGGCCGGCGCCGCCGCCGCCATTTCGCGCGTTGGCTCAATGCCCGTAGCGGCGCGGCGGGCGGCAGTGCTGGCTCCGCCCCCTCCGCCCGCTGCTGCGGACAGGCCACTCCGGTCCCCCGCGGCATCGGTCCCGCCCGGTGAGCGGGCAGGCCTCGGGCCCAGGCACTGGGACCCAGCGGCGCCCCACCGTCCCTTTACAAAGCCAGCCAATCAGCGCCTGCAGCGCGCCAGACCGACAGCCCCCTCCGCCAATCAGCGGCCCTCGCGGCGGCGGCCAATCCAAAGGCGAGACGCAGCGGGGAGTGTGGCTGGGCGGGTCACGTGGGGGGCGCTCGGCCAATCAGCGGCGCGGGACGCGGGGTCGCCCCGGCTCCCGCCAAGTACGAGCGGGACGGGCCGGGCGGGACCGGGCCCGGAGCGGCGGGGGCTGCGCGGGCCGCGCGGGCCGGGCCGCCTCAGGGTCGGCCGCCGCCGCCCGGCACCGCCGCGAGCCGCGCCCGCCGCCGCCGCCACAGGTAGGGCCGGGCTGGGGGTGCGGCGCGGCCGGGGCGCGCGGTGTTTCCGGCGGCGGTTGGGCCGCGGGGTGCGCGGGGCCTGCCCGGGGTAACAAAGGAGGTGCCGGAGCTGCCGCCGCGCCCCGGGGCTGGGCCCGGGCCCGCCCTGCAGCCGCACTCGTGCAGGCACAGAGCGGTTTGGGTGGGGAGCGATCTGAGAGCCCATCCCGTGCCAGCCGTGCCGTGGGCAGGGACAGCCCACGCTGTCCCCGGGTGCTGCAGCCGGGCCCGGGCACTGCCAGGATCCAGGGGCAGCCGGGGCTGATCTGGGCACCTGTGCCAGGCCTGCCCACCCTCACGGCCAGGAATTCCCTCCTCGCATCTCCTTGGGTGCGGGCACGCGCTGCTGGGGACGTTCCTGCCCCAGGACAGTGTGAGGGGGACAGGGTGGCTGCGGGACCCGCTGGGTCGGGGGTTCCTCTGGCTTGGGAGTGACACTGGGACCCCTTTGTCCTCCCTCAGCCGTCCCGGGGAGGCCGCAGCTCGCTGGGAGCTACCACAAGTGCTGATTTGTTGCTTTCTCCCGTAGCCATGGAGTGCAGAGACAAAGCTGCTGTCCCTCCACGGAAGCTCGTCCAAGGTAAGGGAGTGTCTCTCATCCAGCACACATTAAGAACATCCCACACCTGTATTTTATGAAATGCACTGGCTTGGTGATGATTAAATAATCTCTAAATGGCTCATCTCAGTTTTCAATGTGCTCCAGAATGGATGAGAGCCTTTGGTGTTTCCTGTCTCTGACCTGGTGTTGTTCTTGCAGCCCGGCTGCCCTTCAAGCGCCTCAATCCTGTGCCAAAGGAGAATCTCGATGTCAGCTCAGACGTCAAAAAAGTCAAGAGCTCCCCGAGTGCTTTTGCTGCCAGCAAGGATCTCTCCCTGGATGCCTCAGGTGCCTCCCTGGACAATGTGGAGAACGACTGCCAGCTGGGCCCCGACGGGAACTTGACTCCAAACCTCGTGAACGGGAAGGGTCCCTTGGACCATTTTATCCAGAAAACCCCAGGAGGTGACACGAGTGACCCTGGGGGTGCTCCTGACCCCTCCAGGGGCCCTGCCCACGGACCTGGGGACAGCACAGAGCAGGGGACCGTGGATTCTACAGCTGCTGTGAGCAATGGCACCATAGGAAAGGGGCTGGGCTGCCTGAGCCCCGTGCAGAGCAGCCCAGCAGGTGACTCCGTGGGGACTGAGGGGCCCTGTGCCGCTGCAGGAGCTGGGAGCCCCCCACGCTCCAGCCGCACGGCCTGCCAGGATGCAGCGGGCAGGAAAGGCTCTCAGGGAGAACTGAAGGATGTGCTCTTTGAGGGGAAGGTGCCCGTGGTGCTGCTGGAGGACATCATGAGCCTGAAGTGCCCCCAGGCGGCCTCGTCGGAGAGCGAGGCCCTGGAGTCGTCCCACGAGGGGGACTCGGGACTGACCAACTCCTCCCTGAGCTCTGGGGGCTCCCCCGAGCTCCTGGCACAGAGCAAGAGCAGCAGCAGCAGCCCCCTGGCTGCCTCCACGCCTGCCAGGAAGGTGGGTCTGCTCTGCTTTGGGCTGCTTGGCTTCCTGGGCTTCTGGGGAGCAGCGTGAGGGGGGCACTGAGGAGTGCAGGAAAGGTGCTGGGGATTAATTACCAATTAATTACTGAATTGTTGCCCTTTGGGGTCTCTAAATCCTTGATCCTCCCTGCTTCTGGCTGCTGCTGTATTTACATTTCTTCAGTGAAATGCCCACTTGGGGCTTGGTGTTTTAGGAGCAGCAGTTCTGTGTTCAGCTGGTTCTTCCCAAGCTCTGTTCATCCTCCTCAGGGCTGCTGGGATTCCTGGGAGGGTGTTCCCCCAGAACAGCCAGTGCAGGTGCTTTTCCAGCTCTGAATTTCTGCTCTCCTGCCTCATCCCTGGCAGTGCCCAAGGCCAGGCTGGGTGGGCATTGGAGCAGCCTGGCACAGTGGAGCGTGTGCCCCATGGCAGGGGTGGCACTGGGTGGGCTCTAAGGTCCCTCCCAACCCAAATCTTTCTGGGATTCCATCACAAAGCTCTGGGTGAGGGGGTTTTGGCTCACCTCAGCTTCAGCCACCCTGATTTTTGGGGCAGTTTGGACAGAGAAGCTTCCAAGGGTGGCAGCACCTGCTCAGGTGGCTCAAACACCACGGGGATGGTTCTCCCAGTCCTTCTGTTGTGTTTATCAAGTCAAGTGATCAATTCATTCCTCCTCTGTGAAAACTCCCCATCTTCCCTCTCTAAAATAAACAGACACACTCCAGCAGGCATGAAGAATTTCCAGTGTAGCAGAACAGCAGAAAGCACTCCTGGTGTAATCCAGCACTGCCAGTGGGGCTGGATTTGCTCCTGTGCTGCTCCCCAAAATGAGGGTTTGTACCCCAAAGCTGTGCAGCTGGGACCTTTGTTTTCCTGGGAGGAAACAGCCCTGAGGAGCTGAAGCCCCCACTTGACAGAACTGCTGTTTTCTGTCAGATAAATATAGAAAATAAAGCAGTTGGGCTGTGTTAGCCTGTTAATCACAATTTTAATGTGATGCTGAGAATGGCAGCAGGAGGAGGGGGGATCCACTAAATCAAGTCCCAGTGTGCTGAAATATTGACAAATTAGGCCTTTAACCAGTCTGTGAATGATGGTTTTATACATAAACCACCTTTTTCTTCCCCCCATAAATAAAAGATAAATGAGAAATGTGCCCTGATTGGAATTTAGGGTCAGTGAGCTGCTACTGGTGGAAGATCAAGTGGACTGTGCTGACAACACAAGAAAACGTTAAAATGTGGAAAACAGTCCTTGTGTTTATAAAGTTACAGCTAAATATCACAGCATGATAGGTGGATAATAATAAAAAAAAAAACCAAACCCAAAAAAACCCAAAAAACAGCCCAAACAAATATAAGTTTTGCTGGAAGGAATTGAGTTTGCCATGTCCCCTGTGGTTCAGAGCAGCTCCCCTGGTGTGGTGTCCCCTTGCAAAGGGTCCTGTAGGGCTGAGGGGACCAGAGGGGTTTGTCCAGGGGGACAGGAGGTGGGGTGGGAGTGGGGAGGTTGGATATTCCTGATCTGTGCCCTCATTCCCTGTTCTGGGGGATTTGGATATTCCTGAGCTGTGCCCTCATTCCCTGCTCCGGGGGATTTGGATGTTCCTTTGTGTGCCCTCATTCCCTGCTCTGGGGGAAATTGAGGTGACTGGATGGGATCTGCAGGGATCCTGTCCCTCAGGATCGCCTCTAAAACTTGCATTTTGTGATTCCAGGTACCTCAGAAATTCCACAGAAGTTCAGCAGAGAAGGAGAAGCTGAGATTGCAAAGAGTAAGGCATTTTCCCTGACCCCCAAACCTCCCCTGAGGAGCCAACAAAGGCTTTGCCTTTTATCTCAGCCCAGCTGCAACATCTCTTTTACCATTTTTCCTCACCCTTAGGAGTGTGCAAGAACCTTTAATGCAGGCAGTTAAAGTGCTTGGCTCTTTGCAGAGCTCCTGAATGGAGCCCTGGCTGCATTTGGGGCTCTTTGGGAACAGATTGAAGCCCCAAGATTTAGGTTCTGTTTTTATTAATACACAAGGGAAATGGGGCACTCTGTGGCTTCCTGGATGTCACCACTGGATGCCACCACTGGGAATGCTCAAGCTCCAGGTTCTGTTTGCTTGGGTGCAGCTCCTCAGCAAACTCTGCTGCCACTCATGGAGCCTGAAGGGTCAGTGCTGCAGGAATTGGGCTTTTTTGGGTTGTTTTTATCTGCACCTGGCAAGGTTTGTGCCCAGGAATTGTGTGTGTCTCGGTGGCTTGTTTATAAACTCGTGTGTTTTATGTAAGTTGTAGCTGCAAAGCTTTGCAGCCTTTCCCAGTGCCCCATATAGAATTCCAATCTGTTGTTTTCTTCCCTTTCTATAGCTGTGTTAAAAATAGCAGGGATGGGAGGGAGAGAAAGGAGAATGGAAGCTAAAAATGATGCTGGGAATGAAGCAGAGCCACCAGTGAGCTGTCAGCTTCACACCAGCACCCTGCACATTCCATGACTCAGGCTGACAGTGTTGTTTCCTTGCCATTGGCACCATTTGGCTGTTGG